AATAGCCTCTCTAATTTCGGTCTGTATGTAGTGTCCCTGCTTATAATTAGAACAGTGTGAGAACTTGGAAGATGACCTCCTGACAAGTGGGTCTTATGCATCTGTTTTGTAAGTTGACCATCAGAGCAAAAGAGAGAAACCTAATTTCTCATCCATGCAAGCATGGATGCTTGCATCATTCCACTGCTCTAATTTCAGTGCTTTCTGAAAGCTTATTTGGTGAGTATTATGTTCTAGAATGAAACAGAATTACAACTGGTGAGACGTCAACAAACTTCCAAAAACAGCTTAACCAAATACAATCAGCTGAGCTGTGGAGATGTTGAATGCACATTTAGAAACACTCAGAGCTGGAACATCAGTGAAGCTAAGTACAGTAAAGCCAGTTATATGAGTATCTAACAAAAACATGAATATCACCAGTAAGAACATAAATAACAGTACTTTCATTTTTAAGAAAATCTGAATTTTTAAAGCTCTTAAAATATTAATTCAAATCTCCAAATTCACTAAGATAAGTAGCTAAGGATTGTTAATCTTATTTTTACTGCTGGGTAAACTGAGGCAGAGAGGTTCAGTGACTTACCCAAGGCCACAGAGGAAGTCACTGTCAGAGCCGGGATTAGAGCTCAGGAGTTTCTGGCTCCCAGTCCCAAGCTCAGACCACTAGACCATGGCCTCAGGACATTTCCAGCTGGTCTTCAGTCTAAAAAAAAGTAAATTCTCAAGTATGTTACAAGTATGTAACATATATATATTTATTTACTTAGAATGTAATGGTATGAATGAGAACATATTGCTCGTAAGTCAATGATGAAAAGAAAACCAGTATATTTTCACTGATTTACCATTATCATACATCTGTGTACGATAAGGCTCTACAAAAAAATCTTGATTTAAGTTGCAGCCAATAAAAACTGCTGTCGTATTTCTCAGAGTGAAGAACAAATTGCCTTTCCAACCCAGCCAGCATGTCATTTATATTAATGGTGAGGAATGCTAAGTTGCTCGGTGTGTAAGTAAACTCTATTAAGAAAGTCACGTCCCTTGGTGAAACTAGATCCTTAGTAAATTTTACTAGCTAAGCACTGAGCTCCATGTCAGAGTAATTACACCTTTTATCCACTGTGAGCTCTCTCTTAGCTTCTTCATACTCTTTAATTTCCCACTTCAGCTAATTTAGCAGTACAATCACAAAGGTTTTAAAAGGTTAGCTACTGAGGAATTGGCGCATGAATGTTCTGTTAAGCTCCATGCATTGAAATCACATCATGTAGAAGAAGGAATTAATTAAGTAACAATTAGGTAGTGATGGATCATTGACAACATATATACACTTTGCTGCTAAAATTAATCTCCCCTGTAAAGCCGATACATTCTGAATCTTCTCATTTATACACTGGAAAGATTTATTTTTTTTTAACTTGACCTATAAAATGAATAAGCTTCTCAACAACATCTGGAAAAAAAATAATAATTATCACATCTTTTATGGTATTATTGATTCTACATAACTATTTTAAAATATAATGTACCTTCTTTAAAAAAAAAAATAGTGAGAATAGCAAAAAGGGAAGAACTTTTTAAGGTAGAAGGTATTAAAGTGACTGAAAGGACATTTTTCACATCAGAGTATTTGGTACGTTGAAAGTGCTAACAATTCTGTAATATTCTCTTGCTACCTTATTTTACAAGTTGCCATATTGTTTCCTTGTATCAGCGGCTTAATACACAGATTGGCAGTTAGCCCAGACAATCCTCCATTCTAAAAGCCTCTTAGCAGATGAAAAATCCTTGGTTCATTCACACCTTGTAGATAGGATGACAGGGCAGAAGTGACATCCAGATCCATTTAGAGTATACTCTGAGTTTGATTCTCCTTTGCCTTGCACCTTGTGTAGTCATTTATAGCTGTGCAAAGTGAGCACAAAATGGGTATAAAACACTCCTACCCATGTGAGGAGAGAATTCTGATTTCACTGCATTATTTCCAGAGGTAATTACAAAAAGTGCCATGTGGTGAAAAAAATCTGGCTCTTCATAGAAAGTCTACAGAATTTTGACACAAACAAAGCAGCACTTCAAAGAATTCACATTTATACTTTGGAGAAAAGGGTATTTTCTTATCCTATTTGCTTGGTAACTTCATAGGAAAAAAATATTAAATGTTGAATATATCTCAAGAAAATAAAAAGTATTTCATCCTTGTTTTAGTAAAACAAAACAAAACAAACAAACAGAAGTCCTAGATTATATTCTCACATACAGAAATGATACCCTAGGCAGAATCTTCACTAGTTCTATAATTTCATGTGCTTCTTTTAAATCCAGTTATTCAAAAAGTTACACTTACACACATCTATCTGTAATCAAAACAGCTGGTATTATCACAACAGCTGGTCTCAGTCCATCAGAGTTCAGTACTGTCCTGGCATCAGCACAATAGCAAATGACTGTCTTCAGCATTTACCAGAGATCTCTCTGCAACATGATTCTATCACCGCCACAATATAAGACATAGTGCCAAACATCTTCATGATACTGATTAATGTATTTAGAAAAGGACTGCAAATATTAGATTAACAAATGTGAGTTAACAAGTGAGGATATAATTAAGGATATAATGTAGCTACCACTGAAAATGTGGTTAACTGTTTCTACTTCACAATACAAATAATGTATAATAATTCATTTAATATGTTTGGACATGATTTTTCCCTTACTTCCTGGTGACCATTTTCCCGTCCCTTCTCTGCACACTGTTAATCCTCCCCATTATAATTAGACGCCACTGTGGGACTGGTAACTCAGATGCATATTCTGAGCAGAAATAGAAAATACTTGACTGTGTCAGTAGCTTTTGACATAAGAACACTGCCAGAGAAAATAAGGTCTTATGATGTTTCTGCTAGAAAATTTCTCTTCTTTTAAATCACAGTCAAGCACTTCAAAGAGTTATCCTAAGACATAGTTTCCATGCCTGTTACCATTGTCCAGAGCTTTCCATAACCTTCAATGAAGCATCTAGAGAACAAATGAACATTTGTTAAAATGTAATTTTATTAATAAAGCATTATGGCTTGCATTTTCATGGTTTTGCTGTTGGTTGGTTTTACTTTCCTTTCCATTCTGGATTCAGAGCTTCTTTAAACATTCTGAGAGCTAGTCTGCCTTGACTGAAAAATACTGTGTGTTTGTTGTGTGTCTGCATGTGTGATACCAACTGTTGAAGGCTGCTCAATGTTAGATGAAGACTTATGCTCAGAACTGTTCTACAGTTGGCTCTCTGGCAGAATCTTTCCTCACCAATGACAACGTCTCCATGCGGGGAAGAATCTGCTTAATAATATTATACTTGCCTCGGCCATAATTTAACTGAGATGGGGCATGATTATAATTTCATTTATGTTAATCAAAATCATGAGTTATTCAATTCATGTCAATAGCATTTAAGAGCTATACAGACAAGTAAGAGCTCAGAATCAAGCTTCTGATGTTAAATCTGAAAGGTTATCTGAATCACTTTATTAAAGATAGATACTGAAGGATAGATCCTCAGCTTACTTTGCATTATTCAGCCATTTCATTAGCATAAAACATCAAATAAAGAACTATAATGACAGCTGATAATGTGTCAAGGTACATAGGTTTTCCACTTACCTCAAGTACAGAAAACACCCCTGTATTAACAAAATTTAAGATTATACATTTGGTCTGACAAAGTTATATCAGGAATCCTTGCCATTGGAAGCTCACATTAATGTTTAAAACATCTCTCTTTTTTTTTTTTTTTTTTTTTTTGGTCTCTTTTTTGTTGTTGTTGTTGTACATGCTTATGTAACTTGAATTCAAAATATCTATAGACAAACAATATTCAAGTAAGACCTCAGGGACTGAGTGAGTTTGGGAGCCCTGTCCATAATGAAATGTCTTCCAAAAATGAGAGCATCAAAACAGTAATCACATTTCATAGAGTTTCTTTTGCATATAACTTGTAAAGTCCCATCAACTCTTCATTCCTTTTATAAAAGATACAGATATTCTAAAGCTATAAGAGGCTTTCTACTGCTGTCTGTCTCATGTTCAGACAGAGAAATTGTGCAGGGGTTGATAGGCGTTAACTTAGCCCTCAATAATAAGTACTCGTAACACAAAATATCCTTTAAATTGTCTTATTTAAATTACACTCAAGCTCCCTGTAAATCTAAAAAATGTTTACAGGGGAAAAAATCATTTCACAAGGTCTAGCTAGCTATCAGAATGTTTCTCTATTTTACTTATCAGGATTTTTTCCATTTCTGAAGTCAGAGAGTTATTGGCATTTGAGAACATTTTATTGAAATATTTGGTATATTACAGACTCTAGAAACTATCACTGTCATATACACTACCAGCTTCACTGCAAGAATAAGCCCCAAGACACCAAATCATAGATCTGAAGATTCTATCAACAAACTAGGACCAAAATGAAGGTAAAAGGCTTTTTTTTTTTTTTTTTTTTTTTTTTTTTTTAACTAGGTTTTCTATGCTGCTCAGTTACTGCCTCAATTAAAACTTAAGATCTGTCAATGCAAAGATTTTTCCATTGCGGTGGGAGCAGCAAAAGTATTTCCTCCTCACCTCTGAAGGGAAAACTTTCTTTCTGCTCTGCTAGAACACGTGTTCAGTTTTATATCCTATACTTTCTCAGCATACAAAAATTTTCATAAAGTGAAGAAATAAGAAACCATTTTCAGCCTGAACACATGCATTAGTAAAACCACTGATCCCTTATAAGAAAACCTTGACATAATTTCCATTCTTAGGAGCATTTTACATTTTTCCCTGTCTTTGTGATAGCACTTCTATGCATTTCAGTAAGAACATTTGGACCCATAGCTTAATTATAAGGCAACAGACTTTACAAAACTGTGCTGAAAAGCAATTAGAAATCTCATTCTTTGTTTTCCAATAAAAAACAGTGAAAAAGATATTGAATATAGAAAAGAGAAGTGATTTACCGTGGTTGTCTTTATCCGACCTCCTGGTTGTGTACAGGTCCAGCCTGATTTATTGATTAGCAAATCACAGCCTTCTCCTTCTAAACACGGCAGCATTTCACACCACTGTTTTGTTTTGATAATTCGTGCTGAATAGAAAAAAAAAAAAAGTACAAAAAAGAAAAACCAAATAAACAATAGAAAAGGTTGTCAGGAGAGTTCACATTTCACTTATTTCTAAGCATTTTCTCATTAGAGACATCTATTTTTATCATCTAATAATGCACCCATAGGTTATTAAATAAACAGCCTTAGGCAATTTATAGAATTATTTACATCTGCTGTGCCAGCAAATTTCATAATAAAAGCAGAACTTAACAACAATAAATAAAAAGGTAGCCCTGTTATACATAAAAAACATAAAAGTTAGCCAACTTCAAATTCCGTGCTATTTACAGTCAATGAAATGCTGTGGATGCTAACAACCAGAGTCTTATTATTTTACTAAATCACCACAATAGCCTAAGCATGACCTATGACTGAGATGCATTGTGTTAGGCTGTAGATAATCTTATCGTGAACAGCTTACATAGTAAATAGACATGAGAAACAGTGGAGAGAGAAAAGCTGTAACAGGTAAAGAGGTTAACGTAATGATAGTAATTGGGAAAGCCCTGTGATATTTACAACAGTAGGCAAGTCAGGGCAGGAACTAGAAACATAAGCAGGACATCATGAATAGCTGAGGTTGTTTTGCTTGCTCAGCCCAGAGAAGAGGAGGCTGAGAGGAAGTCTCATGGGGGCCTACAGCTCCTCACAGGGAGCGGAGGGGCAGCACTGAGCTCTGCTCTCTGGTGACCGCATCAGAACCCAAAGGAATGGCATGGAGTTGTGTCAGGAAAGGGAATTAGGAAAAAGTTCTTCACCAGAGGGTGGTGGGCATGGAACAGGCTCCCCAGGTAAGTGAGTGGTCATTGCACTAAGCCTGCTGGAGTTCAAGGAACATCTGGACCGCACTCTCAGATGTAGGGCTAGAATTCTAGGTGGTCCCGGGTAGAGTTAGGAGTTGGACTCAAAGATCCTTGTGGGTCCCTTTCATTTTGAGATAACCTTTGATCCTATGACTAGCATAGAAGGAAGAACAGGTTAGGAAGTTATGGGAAAGGAGACCGTAAGCCTGGAACAAAAAACCCATTGTTGTATTACTACAGGGGAAAGGAGATTTAGTCAGAAAGTTGAAGTCCCTAACTACCCGAAAAGTGTTGAGTTACATGTTTTGTGGCTTCTCTTAATGCTTAGTCCCCCTTGTAAGCTGGTTCCTCATGACTTCCTCAAGGTTGTGTAGGAACAGAGCATTAAAGGAGATGCACGCTAACTATACTGAATTTTTTTTTTTCTGCAAGCTAGGGAAAAAAAGAGGGGTTAATTCCTGTAAAAGTATTTCTGGCTTATAATAAAACTTATTTTGAGTTCACCTATTTTGTAATTGAGTTCAATCTGGTGGAATACTAAGCAATATGACTAAGATCAGATATTTAATTGTTCTTTCATTCTTCATGTAGGGAAAATTGTAGAGTGGAGAGTTAAAATTATAGAACGGCTTGAGTTGGAAAGGTCCTTAATGATCACCTAGTTCCAAACCTCCTACTACGGGCAGGGTTGACAACCAGCTGAGATTGCCCAGGGCCTCATCCAACCTGGCCATGAACATCTCCAGGGATGGGGCACCCACAGCTTCTCCAGCAAAACTGTTCCAGCACCTCACCATCCTCTAAGTAAAAATTTCCTCCTAATATAGAATCTAAATCACCTCTCTTTTAATTTAAAATAATTCCCCCTTGTCCTATCAATATCTGACTGCATACAAAGTCAGTCTCCCTCCTGTTTATAAGCTCATGTTAAGTACCTGGAAAGCTGCAGTGGGGTGTCTCTTTACAAGAAGAATAAGCCTAGCTTCCTCAACCTTCCTTCATAAGAATGGTGTTCCAGTCCTTTGATCATCTTTGAGTACCTTCTTTGAATCCACAGTTCCATGTCTTACTTGTTTTGGAGTCCCAGGTTATGTGTTTATGCTAAAGGTTACATGTTTATGCTAAATGATGAACAATACGTCTTACGCAGATGGTAAGGATTGCAGTCCACAGAAAACAGCCTTTGTTCGGTTCTCTCAGAGATCATCTTGACAATACTGGGCTAGGCTGTGTGAAAGCTTTGCCACCTCAACTTGTATATGTGTGCTTTAGGATTCAATGTGAAAACAAATTCCACAAAGACAGAGATGATGTCCTCCTCTATGTTCATGTGTAACACTATTATCTGAATCATACATATATCTCATCTCTCGTGAGATCAACAAAAAGAGCTCCAGGGGAAGTAAATGCACATGAAGCTTATGGTACTTAAAATTAATTTGGGTTGAAGTAGATTAAAAGCAGGCATTTACACCCAGTGGCATCTCTTTACACTCACCTGAACAGTCTCTTCACACCCTTGATTTCCTGTCTGAAACTACTTAAGAACACAATTCCCAGTGCCACTAGAAAATGGCAAGAAATACAATTGTAATTTAAAGTATTTCAATAAAATCCTTTCCAATACTTTGACACGAAACATCTTGTGTCCTCAGTCCCAGTACAATTTTTGGTAAGCTCCAGCAATATAACAAACATTTCTTTCAGTGGGAGCTCAATCTGAAATTTATAACAAGGTTTTCATTACTAAAAAACACCATAGCTCCCTAACATCTACATAGGAACATTCTCTGTTCATGGGCTGAAATATATCACTAGAGGAAAAATTCCCCCAAAAGATTCATAAATACAATTTTTTTTTTCGAAGCAAATCAACTAAGTTTTTATACTTATAAAATAATGAAATACAGATTGTACTTGAGGTGCATAGGTACTGCTCTATTGAGAACTGGACTGCATCAGTTTTCAAGGCTAACATCTCTTACGTAACTTGTATTAGCCTCATCCTTCCTGAGTGAAGGCATGCATCCAGTCACAGACTTCACAGAAGAACCTTATTAAGATATTAACAACAACCTCACCATTTGCATTTATGTTTTGTAAATCACATATTGTAATGGCTATTTCTATCAACGTCTCAATAATATGAAGGCTCAGTGAAAGACTGAGCAGTCAGTTAAACTAAAAAAAAATATATTAGATTGCCATTATTATCTCAGGGATGAGGTTTTCCTGGAAACATATTTTTGAAGGTTATTTCAAATTATATTTATTTCCCCTATGGATTACTCTTAGTGTTTGCTTGGTTGCTATCTCAGAATGCAGCTATCTGTAATATCACAAATACCTGAGCTCTTGCACTGGGTATTGGCTATATCCACACAAATTTAGTACATACCAAGAGAATTTCACAGAATTTCTATCTTAAGTGTACTGGATTGCTCATGCATCTAAAAGCAAAAGCTTTCTTTTTTTGCAGGAAACATTACTCAGCTCTTGTTAAAATGCACCTTAGCTCTGCAAAGTTTGCTCCATAGGGTCTCTCCCTGCCTTGCAAATCTACCACTTTTCAAGCTGATACCATTTTTTTCCTCCCAAAATCTCTGTAGTTTCCCCCGTGCAGTTCAACTTGGTTAATCGGTGCCCTCTTCCTTAACATTATCAATTTTAGACAATTCTGCATAAAACACACACACTTATTCCAACCATAACATGCTTTGTTTTCTTGGCCACCTTCCAGTAGGCAGTTGGACACCCTCACACTCATGTGTAAATTGAAGTTGATAGAGGCATATTGTTCTCTTAAGCATGTGCAGCTACATCACAGGCCATATCCATATCTGTGGGGTTATGTCTGTTCTTGCATTTTTCCAGATCTCTGTAGATAGACAGCAAAAAGCCTATCAGACTTCTCAAATCCTCTCTGAGTTCCATTATAGAGAATTATGTGGTACTTAAATGATACCTAAGCTTTGTGTAAATCTTCTGCAAATAACTGAATTTCATCTCAAGGATCTGATCTGATGCTTCTTTGCATCCCCTAAGAAAGGCTGTGCCCCTTTACTTCAGCTGAAGTTAATAGGAACTGATGATGCTCCTGGTGGAACTGCTTTCCTGAGTAATCATATTTGAACAGGAGAACAAATAGGGACAAACCAACAGCTTCTCATACAGACAGGTCTGAAGTGTACCAGGCAGGCAGAGGTGATACTAACATGATGCCAATCTACCCACTGTAATGTTCTTAAGTATTCTGTTAAATAAAGCACTTCACAATAGATTATTTTTTTTTTTAAGTTCACCCATAATCATATTCAAGAATATATAACTGTAAAGTGATTCAGAACACCTTTTATTTTTGCTAAATATCACAATTAGGAATTTGTGTCTAATCCTTTCACCCAGTTTAAATTATACGTATACCTTTCTGTAGAGAAACAGCTTTATTTTCTGTACTTTCAAACATTAATTTTACATTCAGATAGTTATCAGTTGCTACATCACTAGTCAATCTCACAATTGAAAATCATGACATTTTGGGATAGCAAAAAGTGAGATAAATCAGCAGCAGTAAGTGCAAAAAGTTACAGCCATGTAAAGTATGTCAGGTCAACACAGGCAGATTGTAATTATTCTTTTTTTCCCCAAATATTGGAGAATGAACTTAGAAGTAAAATTAAAAGAAGAAAGAAAGAAAGAAAAAACAACAGTTTTTTTTATGGAATAAAGATTTTGGCTAAAACAGCACTTGGATACTGAGAATATTATTTTAGGATACATCAAGCTTCTAGGCATGAAAAGTGTGCATGAAATAAACATTTACAAATCACAATAAAAATTTTAATCTAAAAGAAAAAAAACTAAAAAAAGTCAGTTCTAGGTGTCTGAAGTAACAAATGGAAAATTCTTTGTAGTGAGAGCAAGGAAGATTTCTCCTAAGCCCAGACAGAATACAGAGTTTTTGAACATACTTCTTAACTGAGGGTTTAGATCTCCTATACTTCTTACAGAATGATGTCCTTCTCCACATTCTTTTTTTTTCCATTGATAACTTGTATCAGTTAATGCAGGATGTAAAGTATGCATTAGAACAAAAAATATTTATTTTTTTGATTTTCATACCTTACTTCACTGTTGTTATTCTGTAAATTTGAAGAAAGTTCATCAGCATAGCTGAT